CCCCCCCCCCCCCCCCCTTCCCCCGTGTCCCCTCCTTACACCCCCTATCTTATTTCTTTATCATAACAATTTTCCTGCCCAATTCCGGGCCAATAAGATTTTAGTGCATGTTCGCAGCCGAGTCCCGCTGGGACAAGCAGCGCTGTATTTTAGTATTTTCCGGTCCGGACCGTTTTCACGCTGTACTACTACTGGGCGTATGCCGGTTCGGCCAAGTCTTTCCAACAAAAGCAATCCCTAACATATGCGAGTAACAGCTTACCACTGGAATGAATAAAATTTTTTGAGCAACGTAAAAGCTTTTATTATTATCTCACTGACAAAAATCAAACTTTCAACTTTCTGCAAGATAACAGTACAACTTCTTTGTTCGCCAGCCCAGGGGAAAGCTCTTTCTCGCTATTTTTGCCCTCTGTATGCTTATTTCTCATCAAAAAATCAAAAAATAACACCCGCCAAGTTAATCTGAACGCTGATTCTGCCGGAAATAACAATCCCAGAAGTACAAGTAATGGAAGGAACCGCTTGAACTTCTACATGGAATTATGTGGATGAGAGAAGCCCAAAACAGCGGATGGAACAAAGGAACACACTGGCACAATCCTGTAAATGGCCATCTCAATCTGTACTGTTAAGAGTGACAAACCTGTGTATTTGCGATTATTCCTCGAGGTGTATGCGCACACCAACCAGTTGCATAAACTCGTGCATTACCGCTACCCGTTGTCTTCACACGTACAGTATCCAGCATTTTCAACTGGCCATTTTCATCAGCTGGTAAACCATCCAGAGCAACATTTTCAAAGCCAATACAATAGAGCAATAAGCCGCAACGTATACTCTCGGTGTGACCATTTAATGAATGGGTGACCTGTACTGCTTCTACGCGACCCTCACTGTTTGCTAGAATCTGAAATAACAGACCAACAGGATTGTACGCAGGCCATGTGTAAGGTGTTGTTTTATGGTGTAAATTGCCTTTATCTTTTAGATGTAGTAAGGTGATATTTTTCGATGCAGTCTGTGTTTCATCCCTTAGCTGTAAATCTGTGTTTCATCCCCTAGTTGTAGTTTATCGTATATTTGATATATGAACTAAAAAAAAATCTCAGAATTACATGAATTTTTCACTTTCTGCATGTAAAACTCGCGAAAAATGAGCGACAGCTTGGGCGACTTTCAAATTTGAGATGATTCACACATCTAGAACAGAAGATGAGCATGGAGAGAGTATTGCTTGCCATTATACTAAAAATTTGAAAAATGAGACATATTAGACTGAAACAGTTAGGAATAAGACGAATTTTCTGGCTTCTCTCACAAAGGAAAGAGCGAAAGGAGCTGATCCCCATTTTGATCTTTACAGCTAAGAAAGAAGACTTCTTATACTTGTGATCTGGCAAGCCAGCAATGCCGGATGCTCCACTAATTTCGTTTTGTTTCTAACGCGAACGGAGCCCTTTTTCGAATTTTTGTTATGGACCAGTGGGGGATCGAACCATTTTCCTTCACGTCCGGACATGTCGTACTATCCATAACACCATCGAATCCTGTGCTTCCGGGTCGGCTGACAGCACATCTACTGTGTATCTGCCTTTCAAAGCTGAATACATTTAATGAATGGGTGACCTGTACTGCTTCTTATTTTTCGCGACAGTTTTTCCACCGATCAAAATCGCTCTTAAAAAGTAAATACAGCTTATCAGTTCTAAAAAAAATAAGGCTAGAAAAAATGTCGCTTAAACCTTTGTTGGTACTCTCCGGAACAGCAGCTGGCAATGACGTTCGGCCTTTTTTTTACCCGAATTAATATTGTCCAGCAGAAGTTCCACAAGTCGCTTTCTTGGCCTGGGCAGTGACGGTAATGAGTTGTTTGCAGCTGACAGATCAGAATCATCAATATTCACCGAAAATGAGCAACCGGGAAGAGTGATTTGTTCTCGTAATTCTTTGATAGTAAAAGAAACCTGAAATTCTAATTCACACAGACTATGCACATATGTTAAATATAATTATGATAGAATTTGGAAAAAATATGGTATATATTTACAAATGAAAAAATATATATAAAGAAAAATATATTAAAACATTTATAAGAAAATTGACTGCGACAATCTGTAGATGTCGTGTATCAGCGAATGGTACCGGTGTGTAGGATAATAAAAATCCAAATTTCCCAAGAAAGAGATCGTGAACGAGTAAGTAAGTAAATCTCGTGGGCTACGTATCAAAACTTTAGAAAAAGTGGCAAAATAAAGCCATTCACAATGCATGTTAATTTCTCGATATGATCGAGAATTCAAGACCGAGGGATCTGACACTTCAGATAGGACAGAAATTAATAGCGGTAGCAAAAAAGCCAATATTCTGTAAAATCGCCTCTTATCAGTATGGAGCCTTTAATGTCCCTTCGACTCTCATGTTCTGTGGTATGTCTCAAAAGCCTGTTTTCACCGGTTTTGCCAAGGACACCATAAGAAAAAGCAACTTATAAAAAAAATGACAAAATTGAGTTGAAAACAGAACGAACATCAAGTGGTCCACGTCGGCCAATAATAGTAACATGGCGTATTTGGGATTTCGAAAGAGTATCTAAAATTGGCGCTGGAATATCGGTTTCACACAATCGCCCCATTCCAGATGAAAGCATTATGCGTGCACAATCTAATGCAACGTTTCCATTCCCAATCACAACCTAAAAATACGTGAAAGAAATATGTAAATGTGCATGTTATGCATGCATATATGTATATGTGTATGCATTATGTATTTGTAGCGTACGGGATCCCTTTCGAAAATGATGCGGACCGGGAGGGAATCGAATCATTCCTTTTCGTGCCAGGACGCCACATACTACCCACTACACCAAAGGTCCTTGCAGTCTCCACCGGGCAGCACATCTACTGTGTATCTCCTTTCAAAGCAAGGTACACTTTCCTTTTTCTGGCTACTTCCCGTAGGAAGCAAATAACTTTTCCTTGGTGGCAGTTTCTTCTTTGTCGGCTTTTCGTGGCTTTTCCATTGCAGTGTGTATGCACGCATGTTTGTATGTATGTATGTGTGCATGTATGTATTTATGTATATATCTATGTATGCATGCATGTATGTATATGTGTGTATGTATGTATGCATGTATGTATGTATGTACGTATGTATGTATGTGTGTATGCGTGTATGCATGTAATATGTACGCATGTATGTATGTACGTACATATGTATGTACGCACGTATGTATTCATGTATGTTGTATGTATATATGTATGTATGTATGTACGTATGTATGTATGTATGTATGTATGTATGTATGTATGTATGT